TAGAAAACATCACCTTTTCCTATTAATCCTGCTTTTCTATGGTTAGAATCTGTGCATCATTTTTTTCTAAAAGCTAGACATATGGGTGCACACACACAACACACACGGGACAGGTGTGCAGATACGATCTGGAGTACAGATGAGAAAAAGTAAAATGTCATTGCTTCCATAAACATTTTCCCTAGATAACCAGGGACCTAATAGAAAACTTAACATTTCCCTATTTTGCCAAAGGACTTAGAAGTGGGGGTGGCTTCAGTATTGCTTCCCCAGCAGCACCAAGTAGCATTTACAGGGGCTCCCCACCCTGCCAGCCTTGCAGCAGGGAACCGGAAGTCCCTTCAGCAAGGGGAAGGTGGGGGCAATTCAGCTGCATGCAGAAGGAAGATTCACGCACTCTGATTCTTCAGGCAACTTCAGACCCCAATATCAAACCTTGGAAAATGTAGTGACCCTAGCTTTGCCCAAACAGGGCAGCAAAGACCCTGCCCTGGCAGCCCGTGTCCCAGGCTAGCCCTGCGCTCTCTGGGCGAACCCTGAAGCAGGGCCGGGCCTCCTCACTAGCCCATTCTCCAGCCTGGCGCCCCGAGGTCCTCTCAGCTGTGACAGTTTGCTTTTGAGATTCCGTAGCTATGTCGGTGAGATCCATGCGGTCCAGGGAGCTATTTCAGGCTTGGCGTGAGGAGCCAGCTGGGGGTGGGGGGAATCTTTTATCAACATCTCTGGCTTCCCTAGCAATGCTCAGCAAGTCTTACATGCTAGTTTAAAAATTTGGCAGACTTAGAAATGTGTCTGTACTTTAGAAAAACAATTAGGAGAGCGTACAAAGCATCTATTTATATCTACTTTAAAAGAAAAGTGAACCCACACAAAAACAGGGATTATCCCAGGTGCTCCTGGCCATGGAGGGATTAGGCAGGTGATGTAAGGAAGCCTCCACGCACATGCGCACACCCAAGGATGTGGGCGCCGTGGTGCTGGGCTTCGTGTATTGTGCTGACCCTGTGTGCAGTCCCTGTCTTCAGGCTTCGGTAATCGCAACAGGACTTAGCCTTGTGCATCTATGTACCATTCAGTCCCCAGCCACACCTCGAAGGAGGTAGGGTAACTTTTGGGGTATCTTTTTTGGGGGTACTGGGGAACAAACTCGGGATCGAACTTGGCACCTTGTACTTGCGAGGCAGGCGACGGCACCACTGAGCTAAATCCCCGGCCCTTCTGGGGTCTCTTTTATAAGTGAGAATAAATCCCAGACGTTCAGAGGTCAGATAACTTGTCTGTGGCCTGCAGATTCCAGTCCTTTTCCATGATACCCCGGCTCCCCAGGCCTCCTTTCCTTCTCTCCAGCCTCTGTCTTTTGTCCTTTCCTCTTGTGTATGTTACGGAGCAGTAGCAGGTGTCCAGAAACTTACAGCACAAACAGAAGTCGGGGGCTCAGGAGTTTCCACAGAGCAAGCACACGCTACGTGCTGGTGGCTGGACAAAGACGCAGAACTCCGAGGCATCCCATGGCCTGTTCCTGTCTCGGCCAACTTGGAATGGAGACAACTTAGGCCTTTTCCTTGTGCTTTGCATCGGTGGACTGTCTGGTCTTCTTCAGCTTCTTTCGCTCCACACTGCATGTGAGAACCACCCGTGCTTTGTACGGCTGTGATGTCCGTGTGTGACCGCTACTAGCACAGAGCTGTGCAGTCATCTTTTCAAACGGCAGTAGCTGCTCCTAGTTTGTGGCCTTTCAGGAAAGCTGATAGGAACATTCTTTCCCTCCCTTCTTTCTTTCTTCCCTCCTTTCCCTGCTTCCTCTCTTTTCCTTCCTTCCTTCCTTCCTGTCTGTCTGTCTGCAGTACTGGGGATTGAACCCGAGGCCCTTGCACTGGGCCACATCCCCAGCCCATTTTTATTTTTGTGTCAGTGTCTTGGGAAATTACCCAGGCTGGGCTCCAATCTGTAATCCTCTTGCCTCATTCTCCCAGAGTGCTGGGATTACAGGCATGTGCCATAGTGCCCTGCCTTCTTTTTTTTTTTTTTTTTTTTTTTTTTTTTTTGAGACAGGTGATAGGGTTTAGCTGGAGAATGTGTCCCCGAAAGCCTCCTGGGCTCAGAGGCAGGGCTTTCAGGAGACGATTGGATCATGAGGCTCTGTGCTCACCAGTGGATTCACCCACTGATAAGTTCAGGAGTTGAGTGTGCTGTTAGGAGGGACCATGGTGGGGAGGTGGCTCCTCTCTTCCTCTCCGCTTCCTGGGTACCATGATGTGAGCAGCTTTCCTCCACCCAGGCCTTTCCACCGTGTCACTGCTGTCCTGGAGGTGGCCAACTAGGTACTGAAAACTCTAAAGCCCATGGGCCCAAATAAGCATCCCTCCTCTCCTTGGGGGTGTTGGATATTGTACACTAGTGATGAGAAAATGACTAGGACACAGGGTGTCCATAAGTGACCCAGGCTGGCCTTGAACTCCCCATTCCTCTGCCTTAGCCTCCCAAGTAGCTAGGATTATAGGTGTGTACCACTGTGTCGGGCCACTGAGAATATTCTCAGGTGTGGTTTTTGGTGACCATAGGCACACATTTCTTTTGGGTATGTATCTTGGAGTGGAATTGCTGGGTCATTAGGGATGTCTATGCTCAGCTTTAGTAGATATTCCAAACAGTTTACAGACTGATGGTCTGTGCTGTCTAGAATTATGATGAATCAGTTAGAAAGCAGTGTGTTGACATCCTAGTTTTATTTACTCTATGGCCTCCACCCACCCACTTCCTCTACCCCCTCTAACATTCTGAAATTTAACCATTATCTCTGTTCCAGGAAAGGGTTAAGAGAAAGAAACAGAATTATTTTTGGGAGCAGAGTTATTCCTATAGTGTGGGGTAGGAACAAAATAAGACACATCTGATAACCTAATTTTAAAAAATTGTCCCAATTATCAGATGCAAGCTCTCATAAGCAAAAATGCATTCTGGTATCAAATAGATTTGTGTCTTTGAATTATGTGCTGCTCTGTAATATTTAGGGTTCTGTCCATACCAGCACACATTATTCACAGGTGACTCTGATGCTTAGAGAAATGAACCCCTCAGTAAATGATGCTTAAATCTCCTGTGCATTTTCTCTGCACTGGGGCAGGAGTGAGCTGTGCTTAATTTGCAGAAAAGTTTTTACTCACTGCACAGACAGTGCTGAGCAGTGTGTGTGGAGGGTTGGAGAGAGACAAGATCTGATCCCAGAGCATGCAGAACTTACTGTGTGTTTGGGAAATCATCTGTGTTCATTCAGAGATTTATTGTATGGTGGAGTCGCTGAAGTGTTCTGAGGAGCAGAGGAAATGTCGTGAAGATGGTGCTGTTTTGTGATCTGACGATGATGCTGGAGTGGTTGGAATAGCAAGTTGGAGAATGGGTCAGTGGGACGTGAAGCTATTGCAGGAGTCCAGGCAAACATAATGAGCTCCAGGCAGTGGACCTCCACTCCAACCCGGACCCGCCTGGAACACTCAGATGTGCGCAGTCTGGACTGAGCACAGGAATGGGTGTTGTTTTCAAAGGCCCCCAAGGGATTCTGCATGCAGCCTCCATATTGGAAAAGCTGCCAGGGGAAGGGGCTTGGGATAAAAGGATCAAGGAATGAAGGAGGAAAAAGCAGTCCCCAGGCTTTGCTCCTGGGTGGCTGAAGGAGCAGGGAGGAAGTCATTGCCCTGGGGGCAGCAACTTCTGTCTAGAAGTGGGAAGGCCTCAGCCACACAGAGGTGGCCAGGGGCAAACAGGACAAGCACCAGAGCCCAGGACTGACCCTTCAGTGGTGCCCAGGAGAAGATGGTAGGGCTACTGGAAAGTAAGGGACCCTGGACAATGTCTGGGACATTTCCTGCTTGGGAACGGGGGAGGCAGGACCTGGAAAGCCAGTGTGCTGTCAACCAGAGGAGAGGCCAGAGGGAGCATCGGGGGTCAGAGGCGAGCAGGCAGACCCGGTGACTCTCATCACAGTCACATGTCTTTGAGGCAGCAGGCGACAGAGAAAAGGGCTGTGCAACTCCATGTCACAGCTGAGTTTGGGGCCAGGTGTTGGTGGAGTCCCACAGGGACTGTGACTCAACCCCAGGTTGGATTTCTGAGCAGCTACAACTTAGCCCATTAGGGATTTTCAAAAGTAGTGACAAAGCATCTGGAAAGGTCACTGAAGGATGTGACCGATCCTCATCAGTGGGCATGTGATGCGGGTGACCCTAAGGTGCCTTCTGGCTCTGATTGGTCTGATGTATGATGGCCACTCCCATCTACCCCAGGGCAGCCTGGTGACCTCAGTGGAGCCTAGTCACTCTACCAGACCGAGCAAATGTCATGGGAAGGTGGACGGGTCAGCTCGCTCTGTTAGCCCGGCCCACCCCACGTCCAGCCCTCCTTCCTGTGCATATCTTCTTGATAAAGCAGCCTAGAGTCAGAGTGCGGCTCACTCACTGTTTGGGGAAATGGTAAACAAAGATAAGAGCTTTGAGCACTGGAATTTATTTTTTTATCTACTCGCCTAAAAGCCACTGCTGCGTGTTAAATTTAGAAGCTGGCTCCAGACCCCTCCCTGCCCTCTGTTTCCTGCCTCCTCTGCCACCCCATTCTAGGAGCCAGCCGGGACTCCGCTGACCGTGGAATATGAAACGTGTTTGCAAAGCCCCGGAGCCTTTCGTGTCTGCCTGCCTGGATGTTTATAAAAGTGGATCATCACAGGGGCCAGCAGGCAGGGGCCATTTCCTCTCCTCCCCACTCGTCACTATTGCAGTGGCAGCCAGCACCACCCAAATATTTACCCACATGTCCTCCTAGGCAGAGCCTGGGGTGCTTCTGTCTCACGCTGTCACTGGGGGACAAGCCCACAGGAGGTCACAGCCTTTCCTGGGGACCGTCTTGGGTTTATCTCCCTTCTGCATGCCTGGACTCTGTCATTGAATAGCACTTAAATCCCTTTGCAATCAACTCCAAGGACCTGGAGAAATCCTTTTGTTGGCCTGGAATTCTTTTGTTTTGAATATAGCTTGAAATAAATGAGCCATTGTCTGGGCTCAGAATATTCTGGTTGGAAAGAGATCTCCACTGTGATGCAATTTATTGTAGCAGGATTTTTTCCAGCTCAGCTTTGATTCCCTCTTGCCCGCTCAGTCCTTTCTCACAGCTCAGGAGATCAGTGGGGAGAGTTGAGCCCAAAGTGGAAAAAAGAAATAAAAACCGAGGATCGTGTTTGCTCAAGCGTGAGGTCCAGAGACCTGAATGGAGTCTGGTCCCAGAGTGCAACGACTGCCAAGAAGAGAGGTACGTTTCTGGGGCCAGTTTAGGAGAAAGAGACTCATGTTGCTGCTGGCACTGGTGATCAGTCATATGACAATAAAAAGGAAAGAGAGAGAGGCTCCAGGAGCTCAGCCACAGCCCAGAGAGGTGAAGGGACTGCCCAAACCACACAGCAATTCAGAGGCAGAAGCAACAGTAGATCTGGACATGGGTCCAGCACTGTGCTTTCTGTCCCTCTGCACTAGAAAGAGACAGGTTTATCCACAAAAACCAAGATTAAGGAAAAAATATCTAAGGGACACATAGATGGCGTTTTCAGTGTTCAAGTCATGAGAAATTGTGGAGCACACTTTGCTTTTTGGTTTATTGTGTGAAAGTTACTGTGAACTTGAACCATCGGCTTTGCATTTCTTTCTACTTTGTGCTGCAGATCAGTACTTCAGTTTGCCCAGTCTTGGGGGCTCTGCTCATAGGCTTGCCAAGTAAACCACAGGACAGCCAGTGAATGTGAATTCTGGATACACTGTGACAGGCTGAGTGTCCCTAAGAGCTGCATGCTGGAGCCCCCACCCCCGGGTGATGGTATCAGGGGTCAGTTACGGTTACAGAGGGACACGAGCATGAGTCCCAGTGGTGGGCCAGAGACGGCATGCTTGCTTTCTTGTTCTTTCTGTCTCTTCTTTGGGGCAGCACTAGGAAAGACCAGGTATCAGTGCAAAGGTGGCCATCAGCTGTGCAGGAAGCAAGGTTTTACCAGGACCTAAGTCTGCCTTCGCCTTCCAGGCCTCCAGAACTGAGAGCCATAAGTGCCTATTGATTAAGCAGCAGTCTGTGGTTATTTGGTGTTAGCAGCCTCAGCTAGGGAAAACCAGAAGTTACTAGAAGTACTTTAAAAAATACTATAAATACATCCCAAAGATTGCATGGTATATTCTTATACTTGAAAAAATATTATTCATATAGAATGTGAATTTAAGTAGATACTCTTTATTCGTGTCTGTTAAATCTAGCAGCTATAGGGGGTACTGTTCATGCTAAATTATTTTGGTTATTTTTGGAGCCAGGGTGTCTCTATGTAGCCCAGGCTGGCTTCCAACTAGCAGTAATCCTCCTGCCTCAGCCTCCCAAGTGCTGGGGTTGCAGGTTTACATTGCAATGTTCATACTAAGGTGAAAGAGATGCAACTGGACCAGAGCTCTTAGTGGTGTGAACCAAGGAACAAGTCCGGAGCAGAGTGGACAAAACTCAGAGTTAGGTGGGTTCAGCCCTCCCAGTATGAGTCTGGACCCACAGCCCTGCAAGGTCAGATAGCCCTCACTTTGCACACACAGAAATTCTCACTCATTACGTATAAAAGAATAATTCCATCAAATAGGCTAAGCTTTAAGGCAGATCCAACTTTACTTAAGAGTAAGTTTTCAGGTAAAATATAAATCTAAGGAGTAGTTCATCTTTTCTCTTTTATAATAAACTCTTAGGGATTTTGAGCTATGTGATCAGAAGGCAGAATCATAAATGAATGGGCAGAGATGCACAATCTAGCAGGCCCTGCTAGAAGACATAGGCAGTGACAAGCCTCCCCGAGCCTCAGTTTGCTCATCTGTAAAATGGGGAGAAGTCATACTCAAAGCATCCTGGTCAAGAGCCCTCCTTAGGGTTCTGTGGGGGTTTCTTACGAGGCACTGCTTGTGAGTCTTCTTCAGGGTGCATACCAATCCATCTGTTTCTAAGGGGCCGTGTAGAAACCATATTCCTGGAGCAGACGTGGAGGACACAGTGCGTGCTGGGGTAGGGGTGGACGGACTACTCCATGGGTCCTCCCCACCCCGTGACCTCACATGGCCACTGTACATGGGAGAGGGGTGCGGGTGGAGAGCTGGGTACTCCCAGCTAAGGCCTCCCATCTGTAGGGCAGCCGGCCTGTGGCCCTCAAGCCCTGTCACAAAAGTCACCTGGGGCACAATGGTCGCCCATTCCATGGCCAGCCCCTCCTCCAGACAGAACCGTGGTGCTTTCGGGCTTTAACCCAGTCCCCGTTGGGTTGTTCTGCTTTGGGTTTCTTATCTCTGCTATTGGGCCATTCTAATGTGGGATGAAACACCAAAAAGGTGTCACCACTGCCAAGCCCTGTTGATAAAGGGTCCTCTGTGGATGTGTGCTGTGCCTGTATGCGTTTACTGACTGACTGATTCTCTGGAGAAATCAATACTTTTTTCTAATAAAAATTTCATCTGTTCTATAAGGATCCACTCAGCAACCTGCTGGGTTCCCTTGCTGCTGAGCTGCTTCCCCTCTACCCTGACATCCTTGCTGGCTGGTGTCGCCTTGTGCCTGCTGCATGGCCAGGATGGAGATGGGCGGTGCACAGTCCCTGGGGAGAGGGAGCCCAGGGGACGCTCTGGGGGCAGAGGGGACTGTGGGCACCGTGGAGGCCAGGACCTCCATGGTGGGCAGAGGAGTATGAAGATCTCCCACAGAAGATGAGGCTTCTGCTGAAGCAATTTTCACAGAAGCATTTGTGTTCTCTCACACAGAAACAATAAAAGCACTTAAACAAGGTTTTGGAACAACACAGAAACGAGCTCCCTCGCCGCCCACCATTCATTGCCGTTTTATTGGTGCGTGTTTCTCTGCCGTTCCTGCCCGTCTCCAGCCGCGTCCCAGCCCAGGGACTGTGACGGCAGCACCTGCTAACCATGGTGATTTGTTTTGGCCTCGGATCTTACCGAACCTCGGGTTTCTTTTGTCTTGGTGTCTGCTGCCCCGGTCACGTGCCCAGCGAGTGTGTGGCCCTGCGGCCCGAGACACCCCCAGTGCACCCCACACAGGTGTCTCAGAAGGACAGCCCGAGGGTGATGGCAGGCAGGGTCCCTCCAGGTGTCGGGGTGATGGTGTCCCAAGGAGGCCTTGTGGGGTGGCAGGGCAGCTGGCTGCAGGGAGGTTTGCGGGATCCTAAGTCCAGAAAGCAGCAGAGGTCAAGTTCATAGCCACACAAGCAGGCAGAGAGGGGAATGACAGGAGGGAAGCGAGGTGTAGAGGCGGTGGTGCAGAGGGAGTGGCCTGATGGGGTGGGTGGGGCTGAGCTGGGGCCTTTCGGATCCAGGTCAGGCAACCTGGCTCTAGACGAGGGTATGAGATGAGCATCTGTGTCTCCCAGGGGACGCAGGAGTGGGACTCTCTGGGGTCTGTGAGGGTTGTGTGCCGCTAGACCGGAAGCAGGTCTGGGAAGCACCTCTGCGTGGACAGGCTGGAGTGAATACCCCACCTCTATGCTCTTGGGGTGCTGCTTTCATGGGGAGACACAGGCATTGGGCACATTCCTGCAAGGCTGCTAGAGCTGCCCGTAGACCTAGACCCCGCGGAGTGTGGGATGGGGGGCTTCAGGCTGGGACGACCTCCGAGCCTGGCTCCGGGTGAGGGGCAGGAGCGGACCAAGGGGGCCATGGTTTGAAGCAAAGCTGAAGGCCTGCAGGAGCACTTGCTGACCGTGTCTGGCAGGGCAGGCAAGGGTGGTCCTCTTGTGGCATTTCACAGAGTTTTGCTTTACAGATGAGCAAACCAACTCTGAGGGCTTGTGCGTGAGGTCAGCAGGCAAAGACAGCAGAGTCAGGCTTAAAGAGGGGCTCGTAAATGAAAGCTCAAGTCTCCTGGATGCCAAAGCCTGTGACCATGAGGGAGAGGCATGGGAGGAATCGTTTTCTCAACAAGGCAGGCAAGGCTGCACTTGGCACTCTCACGACTCTTTGACTGTGACGTACAGATGGCTAAGGATCCAAGCACCATAGATGCTTAAAATCAAAAGGCAGAAGCCTAATATGGTGGCCCACATCTGTAATCTCAGCACTCTGGGAGGCTGAGGCAGGAGGATCATAAATTGGAGCCCAGCCTGGGGCAGTTTAGCAACTTAGTGAGATATTGTCTCAAAATATAAACGAAGGAATGGCTGGGGATACAGTTGAGTATGAAGGTCCTAGGTTTAATCTTCTCTACTAAAAAAATAAAAATAAAAAATGATTTATAAGGTGGGACAGAAACCTAGCCCTAACACATAAATGGACCCTCTTGGGACCACAGAAGTTGGCAACAGGAGGGCCCTGGGCGAACGGGGCAGGCAGGACTGGGGGCCTGCAGTGTCCATGGACCCTGGCCTGGAGAGAGGAGTGTGCTGTGGGGCTCTGCTCAGCTCGCCTGGGAGCAGCCCTTGCGCCAGCCTCATGGGTCCTCTTGGACCTGACATGGTGTAAAACACAGGCTGCTCCAGCTGGCGAGGGTCGTGCTCATCCCACGTGGCTGCAGGGCTGGGGCAGCTCTTTGGGAAGGGACAGGGCCACCTGAGATTCCTGAGCCCTTGCTCGGTGTGCTTAGCCGGAGAGCATTCCAGCCTCATTCTTCACCTTCATCTGGGGTCCTGGCCTGGGCCCCGGGAACAACAACCACCTTACCTACTGTCTCTGCAGCTCAGTGGGGGAGGGTCCCAGACCGATTGACTTCCCCTCCTCTCTGTTACCTCTCTTCTCTGACCTTAGCTGGCCCTGCTCAGAGTCAAGGAACAGTCCTAACCTGCCTGTTAGAAAACCACCATTCCTTCAGGGCGGTGCACTGTCCTTTAGGGTCTGGGAGATCCCCAAGATCCCCATGGTCTTTTAGGCCAAGGTAAAGATACCTGGTCCACCTCCTCTCATCTCTAGGACTCCCAGATGACTTAGTGTCCTGACATATTTTACTAAAAAATATGTTCCTGCGAGAAAACCAGGGCAGTGATCATATAGTTCCAAAGCAAAAATGTCTGGAACTAATTTCAGAAAGCTTTTAATGGCCCCGCGAATTACCTTGCCTTCTGATGAGTGATCTTAGCAAAAGGATTCTGTTGTAATCAAACTTGTATTTTATAATTAGGTGAATGTTTTAGGCTTGGGGGCCCTGAAAATGGGTTTCTGTGAAATCAGGACACAGGGGGAGACCAGACAGGCACAGTGCCAAGGAAGTGGCCTCAGTCCTGAGCTTTCCCATCAGAGAAATGACCAATCATGTGGAGATACGCGGTGAGATCAAAATACTATAAACTGTGAATATGTAAATAAGAACATTTAGTATAGTAAAAACACATTGCCATGAAGCCCCCTCACTTCCCTGTCACTTCAAACACTTATCTCATTGTCCTTGCCCCTTTCTGAACCAGCTCGGGAAGTCCTCTTTCCTGAGTGTCTTTATGACTCATGATAAAAAATCCAGTGAATGCTGCCTCTGAGCGCCATCCCACAGAAAGGCAGGCGCATTAAAAACATGACGCTGTGTCCTCATCCATCTCATTCGCCAGACCTGACACCATGTGACTTCTGGCTCTTCCCCAAAGTCAAAATGGCCATGAAAGGTCAATATTTTGAATTGTCTGGCTTTTCAGATAGCTCTGTATAATGGGAGCAACAATTTGGAAAATTTGACCACAATAGCAAAATAAAAAATAATAGAGGTACTGCTCTGTGCTGAGTGCTTTCCATGTCATTTGTTTGTGACAGTCCCACGTCACAGCCTGGCACCTGGGAGAGCACTGTTATTGCCCCCTTCGGCAGGCGAGGCCCATAAGCTTGGGGAGGACCCATGTTGTCACCAGGGTCACAGGCAGGGCACAGGGTCCGGCTTTGGTTTGAGTAAAGGGAGTTGGAGCCCAAAGGCACGCTGAGCCCTCAGCCCACCTCAGCATGGGGTGGGTGCCGGTGACATTGGCAGGAGGGCCGTGGGGCCCGCACGCGGCTCTTTGTGAGTCTTGCTGTGCACTTGGGGGGCTGCTGGCAGCTCCTGCTGGGGCCAAGAGGGACCAAAGCAAAAGTGTCTCCTATGGCAGGGAAGGAGAGTGCATGATCAGTTTCTGTGCACATGGACCAATGAGCTAATGAAAATCTTGGAAGCACCGGGATTGGATGCTAGGAGCTGAGGCGACCTGCAGAAGGTAACATGAAGAGCAGAAAAGGAGCTGTAAGGACAAGGGTTTCTTTGGAAACTATCACAACTGGAACAATGCACGTGGAGTGGACAGCTCTGGAGAAAATCCAGAGGGTAGGTACCACACGATGGTACCACGCTACAGCATTTGGACTGAGCATGGCAACATACACAGATTCCTGCCAGCTTCCTTGTTTGCAGGCCATGCTGCTCGGCAGCCCTGTGTCCTGATGACAGAGCACAAGAGTTGTAGAAAGAAGACTGGAATTCTGGATTTGCTATGTGACCCGAGGAAAATACTTAACCTCTCTGAGGATCTGTGTTTTCGACTCTAAAAGGGAGTATTTGTGATAGATGCCCACATACTTCCTAGAGCAGGGAAAGGGCAGCAAATATGTTACTATATTTTCCTTATGTCACCAGCGGTGCCAGTCCCAGGGGAGCACAGGAAGATTTGCTGCGGAGATCAAGAGGCATGGAAATAGTGAGACTGGCTCTCACCAGGGAGAGGCTAAAGGTCAAAGGGTGAGAACCCAGATGAATGAGTTTCAGTGTTGATTTAAGCTAGGCGGACACCCTGGCAGTGATGTGATTGGTTCAAGTCAGAAATGATAACAAAGTTGGAAATTTGAGAAGAATAACAGGTGACAAGAAAATAGTATGCAAGCAATATAGGTACATAGAATGCAGCAGAAGTGGATCCCAGCGCTGGTATACTAGAAAGAGCGGCAGAATGAAACTAAAGGGCAGGCTGGGAGTGGGGTGGGGTGGGGCTACATTTTATTAGTTTGGCCACAAATGAACAGAAACAGACTCAGAGGGTCTTGTAACTGATCTGACATCTTTCCTCATTTGTCATGTGGTTTTTAAAAACTGCTCTTCCCTCTCCTGAACTGTGATCTGCTAACACAGTGTTTTTTCAAAGTGGAGGTGGTGGTGATCCTGCAGGGAACTGAGTTTAATGTAGGCGTCCAGACCAGCATTAAAAAAGACAGAAAAGCCAGGGCAGTGACACACATCTGTAATCCCAGCACTCAGGAGGCTGAGATGGGGACATTTGTGAGTTCAAGACCGGCCTGAGCTACTGATCCTTGGCAGCGCTGGTGGGAAACCTATGGCAGAGGTACGGCAGTGGGCATGCAGAGCCTTCCCGCCAAATCACCCCGCAACCAAGCATCAGATACTCAGGTTTAATTGCAGTGTGGGCCCTTGGCGATAGATAAGAGGGTTTTGGGTTGTAGTTTGGGAACTTGGTCTCTTAAAGGTTCGAGATCACTGCCCAGTATAATCTGTTCCCCTTGATTCTGTTAGTGCTCCTGGGCGCACCAGGCTCCCCCATAACAAAGACATTTACGGTCCCAGAGGTCAGCCTTCCCAGAGTGACAGCCCCTTTCTTCCTGCCAGCAAAGATCCAGGCCGGGTTAAACTGCCCATGAAAGTTACTACAGAGTTGCCAGATTCATCAAACAAACAAGCATAAGCAGCCAGTTAAATGTGAATTTCAGGTGTACAGTGACTAATTTTTTAGTATAAGTATATCCCAAATAGTGCACGAGCTGTGCTAAAAAACAAGCCACTGTTTATCTGAAATTCAAATGTGACCAGATGCCAATATTTTATCTGGCAACCCTAAGTAAGTAATAAACAAACAGCAAACAGGAGGGAAAGTTTCCGAAGATTAAGGCCTTTAAATGCCTCAAACTACAAAACTTTGTGTTTTAATATGATCATAAATTAGCAGCTGTCTGGCATTATGCAAATTTATGTTAAGTTATTCACTCTCTGTCATCATGCTCCAATAAAAATTGTCTATATGACATTTAGGGGAAAAAAGACGTCTTCTGATAAGAGTTCTCGCCCCTCATCTTGGCGGAGCTGATCACCTTCAGCTCTCCTGAGTCACAGCCCCAAACCTAGAGCCAGGCCCCTTGTGAGTGACTCAGGATTCCCCAGAACAGTCCCCAGAGTGACCAGGGACTGCTGTCCCCCATTTTAGTGCCTTTTGGAAGAAA